CGGGTTGAGCCCAGTGCCGGTGTGCGATGGCTCAGCAAGCCTGGGCCGCCCAGCCCCATCCCGGCGTGGGGAACACCTGAAGGAATCTTTTCCCAAAGGGAACCAGGCGTAGGCAGAAATCCCCTTGAATTAACACTTTTATTTTTCTGCCTGCCGGGGCTGTTTTGTGTTCTGCAGCCTCCAGGGATGCTCCATGGGCCGGGTCCGGCAAGGCACAGTCTGCAGCACACAGGCTTCAACGATGTTTAGAAAACTGATCGTCTCTTCTCATTGACACTTGAATCAGAAACTCAATTAAAGTCCTTCACCATGTTAGCAAGATTCAGATGCCTGGATTAGCCTATGCTGTGTTGTTGGGGTCCAGTAGGTCGAGGGATCTCTGGGGGCAGGGGAGAGGGCCTGGCAGGGCGATGCCGGTTACTTCACGGCGTAGCCGACGATGTGAGGCTTGATGGGCGTCCAGGGCAGAGATATGCTGATGTGTTGTAGCTTCACCTCCGAGAACTTGGACTGCTTGAGATTTTTCCATATCTCTCTTGTTAGGCAGCATCCACAAAAGACAAGCTTCCAAGTCGGGTAGCAGACCTGCTGCCAAAAATAATTCCAGCTGGAAGGTTCAGCGGCCACGTGCTCTAAGAAATAGAAAGCTCCTCCCTGGGGAAGAAAACAAAGTCATCTTACAGAGCTGCAGTGGGCGCTGGGGTTACACTGAACTTCTCCCCTCCATCCCACCTCCTCTCAAACCCAGAGCAGTGCACGTGCAGGTCCCTCTCTTATCAGTATCCTCCCACCCCTTCCCTGCCCGCTCTGTGCTTTCGTGGTGTCAGATGGAATTCACGTAAGCAGAGAAGTTGCAGAGATTCAAAATGCCTATTCAAAAAAATGTGAAGAATGTACTTCTCTGATCCCGCTTTTATTATATAGTTTGGCATATTTTTGTTTCAATTACAGTTGCGAGTATGTCAGGTTTTCTAAAAAAAAACCCAATCAACTAGGAGAAACAAATTAACTCATTCAAACTCATCAGGTTTTGACAACCCAGACGATTGTCCTGAAAATGCCATTGAAAAGACTGAAAGTCTATTGCAAGAATACCCCCACAAACAAGCTTTTTTTAATCCTTAGTTTGATTAATATACTACAGGGAATGAAGGCATTTAATGAGACTGGTTTAGTCCTGGAGACAGACCAGCCCCACTTCTAAGAGGCTAAAGCAGTTTATCTAAAATGCAGACTTCAGAGCTTGATCAGAGAGCTTCCTGCCCACAGGAAAACCAGTGTGTGGGGGGAGGAAGGAGACCAGAGAAGCCAGTTTTGCTTTAAATGATACACTATAATTACTTACACAATCAGGGGCAGTTGTAGTTAGCAGACTGTTACTTCTAGGGTTTTACTTTTAAGAACAGGACAGACTGACCAGCATGTTGCTCGTGCTTTGCACCACTGAGTGGTTGTACGGAATAAACTGGGTCTGGTTTATAAGCTCAAAACCAAGGCTTTTTTTCTTTTTTTTTTTTTTTCTTTTTTAGTACAGTGCCTCTGGAATAGCTGATAAAGGTCATCACAAAACTTTTTATTCAGATACTCACTGGCCTGAGCACCCGCAGAACCTCCTTCAGGGTGTCGTTCACGTTGTGCACCGAGCAGAGGACCAGGGTGCAGACAACAGCATCCACAGAGCCACTGGGCACCTGGTGCAGGTCTTCTCCTGCAGCCACGAGGAAACGCTCGTAGTGAACGTGCTGGTTCTTGTTCATGTTTTTTGAAAGGCCTTGCTGGAAGTTGGGGTTTATGTCGGTGCATGTGACTTTGCAGCCGGGTGGGTAGAACTGGAAGTTAGCACCGAAGCCGGTCCCGATCTCCAGCAGCTTCAGCTCTCCCGAGGGGCTCCTGAAGTCAGATAGATTATGAAATAGCTCCTGCTTGTGCTTCTTTGCTTTCCTTTCATGAACCACAGAAAGCCTCTCCAAGAAAAAAGGGAAAACCACCTTCTTACAGAAGGGCTGCCATATGCCCACGAACGACAGCAGGTAGATGGGCAGGGCAAGCAGCGTGAGACAGGCGCGGAGGAAGAGGATGCTGGCCTCTGCCATTCCCAGCGTGGGGCAGAGGGTCTGCACTGAGCCAAACCAGTCCTTCTGTGTCTTCAGAGCCCTTGAAGTTCAGGCAGCGCTGCTTTAATGCACTTGTGGTGTTCCTCTTGAAGTATATTCAGCTCCTCGGGCTGATGTGGTAGACTTTTCTCTAAAGCTGATTGTAAAGTCCGGTCACAGGCAAGGCAGGGAGAAGAGGGTCTGCTGCATACCAAACAGTCACTGTAGTGTCCCAACTCCAGCAGCAGAAGAGCTGCCAGTCTCTTGCATAACCGGGACAAACTGGGCAGTACAACTTGGTGTGTAACTGCTGGCAGTATGTCATGAGACGCCCTAATTTGGTGTTTGGCAGTTTCAGGTTGCAGGTCCTATCTCTTAAAGCAACCCTGTGTGGTCTTTAGCGAGGTGAAGGAAATGAATCTGAGCTGGGGATTTGCTGTGGGCGTTTCAGTACGAGATTGATTAACGTTTTGTTTGTTTAAGAGTTAATTTACCACCCCGTTGTAAGTAGCTGCGTGAGCTAGTCAGCTACTTGCTCTGTGCTCCCTCTGCAACAGCAAGTTTTCATTCTTTCCACTTCGTGGACACCTAAAATATTTTGGTATGTGTTGTGTCCTGGTTTGGGCTGAGTTAATTTTCTTCCTAGTAGCCAGTCCAATGCTGCATTTTGGATTTAATATGAGAACAATGTTGATAATATGCTGATGTTTTAGTTGTTGCCAAGTAGTGCTTATCCTAAGTCAAGGACTTTTCTGTTTCTCATGCTCTGCCAGCAAGCAGGTGCACAAGGAGCTGGGAGGGAGCATGGCCAGCAGAGCTGACCTGAACTAGCCAAAGGCATATTCCATACCACAGGACATCATGCCCAGTATAGAAACTGGGGACAGCTGACTGGAGGAGCCTCTTGCTGTGCAGGGTGACCAGTTGGGGTGTCATGGGGTTCAGCCACAACAGTTTGTTATGGAAATAACTCTGTGACAGGGGTTAATTCTACGATTCTGCTGAATCAATAAGCCAAAAGGAGATTCTTCTATAAAGCCCTTAAATTAATAGTGGTGTGGTTTGAGCTGGGTACCCCTGGAGAGGGACCTCAAAGAAATCCCCACCCCTCATATGACAGTTGGGAGCAGTAATGGTGTCAGGGGCTGGGGTCTTCCCATTCTTCACTGGGTCCTTTCAGTGCCTCTGGGTGGGCTGGTTCTTTTCTAATCTCTAAAGCCACAGCTTCTGTTAATGAATGTAGCTTCCTTATCTTTTGGCTTCAATCAGAACTAGCTCTGCTGCCTTCTTTTATTTGACTGGGTAAAAATTCAACATATCTAGGTGAAAGTTCACAGCTTGTGGCCTGAGGCTTCAGCAAATTTATGTTCATAGTGCTCAGCGAGTTCCTCTAAGCAAGTGCTGGGTAAGTTACTCACCCATTGCACACCCTGTGCATACGGGCAGTGGACAAGTTGGCTTCTCTTGGTTACCTTTCAGACCTGTGATGGGAATCACAGAACAGCCACAAAACCACTGATGAATCCAGTAATCACTGCACGGCGTGTAGGGCCTGGGCTTGTTGGCTTCATGGGCTTGAGTCAACAGTGGATGGGCTCTTCTACACTGAACCTTCTGTAGAGCTCTTTCACTTGGCAGTTACCCATGGTTTCCCAAGGAATGCAGGAGCAGCATAGATTAGCCACTAGCATTTAATTGCTCTGCTCCAGGTGACCCTGGTGTAGGGAAAGGAGGATTTAAGAGCCCTCCGAAGGCAGCTCTGTAGTGAATTGAGTTGGAGAACTGGGGGTTGGAACCAGATGATCCTTAAGCTCCCTTCCCACCCAAACCATTCTATGATTCTATGAGTTCTGTTTTGCTGTGGAGTGCTAGAGGTCCCGTTGTGTGATGTGTTGCCTCCTCCCTCTAGTGGTAACAAAGCAAAGATAAAATCCAGCATACAGCAGGTTCGTTATGAGACTGCTCTGTTAACGAGCTCTGCTCCAGCACCTTCATACCCCAACCTTGTGACAACAAGGACAAATCTGAACAGAAACTGCTTTCTGCATAGGCTGGTTGGACGCCTTCAGAGCACAGAATAGAGACATCACTGCATTATCTTTTTTTAACAAATATCATCTGTACCAGGTTTTAATTCCTTGCTGCCATACTGTGGGACAAAGTTAAACAGTGGCCAGGGAGCAGCTGCCTTCTCTTGGTGTCCTAGGGGAGTTTAGCTGCAAGACATTTCTAATGGAACTCTTGGGTTTAAAAAAAAACCTTAAAGGGGACCAGGCCCCTTTGGGTGGGCACAGGGAGCGGGTGACTCCTCAGCACAGTGCTGCTGGGTGCTGGGCAGGGCAGGTCCAGCCCCAGTGGGTGTTCCTGTGTCATTTGTGTCACCTGCCTGGAGATTCCCCAGGTCTTGATGTCCCCATTGCCCTGGGCACTTGAGGAACCCATCCCATGCATCACAGGCCATCCCTTGCATCTCAGTGGGCCATGCTTGTTGGTGTGGTGCCAGTCAGGAGCATCTTCTCTTGTGTGACAAGCTTAGAGCCTGGATCAGTCTCACGTCTTCAAGTTTCCAGATGATTCTCTTTTGCAGCATCATTCCAGGTTCATTGGCAGCTCTGTTCTCTTCCTGTCCATTTCCATGGACTGGAACTTCTTCCCCACATCCATGAATCAACCAAGCTTCTTGTCCATCCATCATCTCAGCTGTGACAGGAACTTCTTGCCATGGCATTGAGCTCTTCTCTGGGGCTCCCATGGAGCCTCCTCACCTCACTGCCACAGCCCCGTAGCTCTTGTCACCCAAGAGAATCTCCAGTCCCAGAGTCACTGTTCTTGCTGAGTTTTCTCTCACTTTTGGGTGGAGTTGTGTGGAGTGTGGGTGTCTGTGTGTGGCTTGGAGCTGCTCTGCTCAGGGCTGTGGAGCCCGGGCGTGGGTGGAGGAGCACTGGGAGTCTGTGGTTATGATGTGGGTCAGATGTGGAGCCCCACGTCACATGCAAAGAGGAGAGCAGAGTGCTGGACAAAGCTGGGCTGGCATTTGGTGTTGGAGAATTTGTGAGAATTGTTAAAACCCAAAGTGAAAATGGTAAAATTTACACACTGAGTTGCGGTTTAAATTCTAACTGGCAAATAGCTGCAGCAAATGCCTTATTAGTTGTATTTAAGTGCTTGAGTTTTGTTGTAAATGTTTAAAAAGAGAGATAACTCAATGTTATGGGTTTTTTTCATCCTTTTTTGACAGAACACTGTCAGGGACTTCACTTGTGTCTCACGTTCCATGGTGCATTTCCCTGGCAGCTCAGTCTTATGCCTCTCAGGCAGCATGGCCAGCAAGGTGTCCCTCCTGAGTATGTGACACACAAAACCACTCCAGTGAAATAAAAACTGCATATTTTGGAGCGAATATTTCTTCAGTATGTACTGAAATACAGTTCTGTGTTTTGTTTTTTTTTCTCAGTTGTTTTGCTGTAAGGCTCTCGTGGCGGTGCTGGATCAATGCCCTCAGCCCAGGTTTGCCTGCTGGTCATGAAGCATCCTCAACATTCAGGGTCAGCCAAGGGACCAGGTACATCTGTCACCCTCAGTGTTGTCCCAAATCTGGGTGTTTTAACACACAGAACGGAGATATTCCCACTTTATTTCACCGGTGTGCACAGATGGGTGTCTGCCCCAAGACAGCACACCCTAACTAAAGGAATTTCTGTATTTATACACTTAAAATTACATATTCAAATAATTTATACATATTCATTGTTATTCTTTTTATTGATTGCTTCTAATTTCCTTGCTTCTTATTTAAATTAACATGCAGGTTCCATCTTCTCCTCCTATTTTTTGCCTTTTTTTTACCAACCAAACCCCGAGTCTGTCACTCCTTAACTTCTGCTTCTGACAGGAGCTTCCTGCTTATCAACAAAGCCACATTGTCTAATAGTTATTTTCTAAATCTAATTGCAGATTAATCATGTCCAATTACTATTTCTTTATTTTAATTTCAGGGAAATAACTAAATAGGGGCTGGGGGGGCTGCAGCAGTTTGAGGGGGGTTGCCCACCTTTAATTTTTCTAGCAGGGCTCCACTGTTTGGGGCTGTAGGTAATGTTGGTATTAAACTATCAGCCTACTGCTTGGGGCAGTTTCCCTCACTCTGTCTCTTTTTTTTTGGGTGGATAAAAAAGAGGGATGATGATGATGTCATTTGGGGCACCCCGATGTCACCGGAGGGGTGATGAGGTGGCATGTATTAATAGCAAGTCTCAGTAGCACTTCCTTGTAATCTAAATAGATGTAAATAGATAACTAATCGAAATAGATGTAATTAAGTGAATGGACAGCCTGGAGAAGAGGGGGCTGAGGGGA